CTCTCTCTCCCTCTAAGCCACTGTCCTCTCTCTCTCCCTCTAAACCACTGTCCTCTCTCTCTCCCTCTAAACCACTGTACTCTCTCTGTTCCCCTAAGCCACTGTACTCTCTCTCTACCCTGAAACCACTTCCTCTCTCGCCCTCTGAACCACTGTCCTTTGTCTCCCTACGTTGACACCACACTCTTGTCTCTCTCCACCTTGACATCTCAGTCCTCTCTCTATCCAAGCCACTATCCTCTCTCTCTCTCTCTCTCCCTCAAAACCACTATCCTCTCTCTCTCCCCTCAAAACCACTGTCCTCTCTCTCTCTCCCTCAAAACCACTGTCCTCTCTCTCTCTCCCTCAAAACCACTGTCCTCTCTCTTTCTCCCCCCCTCAAAACCACTGTCCTCTCTCTCTCCCCTCAAAACCACTGTCCTCTCTCTCTCCCCCTCAAAACCACTGTCCTCTCTCTCTCTCCCTCAAAACCACTGTCCTCTCTCTCTCCCCCCTCAAAACCACTGTCCTCTCTCTCTCTCTCCCTCAAAACCACTGTCCTCTCTCTCTCCCCCTCAAAACCACTGTCCTCTCTCTCTCCCCCCTCAAAACCACTGTCCTCTCTCTCTCCCCCTCAAAACCACTGTCCTCTCTCTCTCTCCCTCAAAACCACTGTCCTCTCTCTCTCTCCCTCAAAACCACTGTCCTCTCTCTCTCTCCCTCAAAACCACTGTCCTCTCTCTCTCTCCCCCCCTCAAAACCAATGTCCTCTCTCTCTCTCTCTCTCTCTCTCTCTCCCTCCAAACCACTATCCTCTCTCTCTCTCCACCTTGACACCACTGTCTTCTCTCTCTCTCGACCATGTCATCAATCGTCTTTTACAGCACAGTTAACTGAGAAGAGTCCTCTATGTACACCATCAGTTATTGTGATTTCAATGGCACCGTCTATGTGTGAGTGGCTGAGTGGATTAGGACACAGTGTCCGTGATCAGGAGGCTGCTGGTTCAAATCCCATTATCAGCGGGGTAATTTTGCTGTTAGATCCCTGAGCAAGACCCTTAATCCTCAGTTGCTCTAGGGACTGTCTGACCGTGCTCTCCCCAGTGTACACCACTTTGTATAAAAGCCCCCGCTTAATAAAGTAAACATGAAAAGTAGCTACATAGCTTATAATATAAAATACATCTAACACCAGATTCATTGTGTCGTGGGAATTTGTGCTATGGCGTCCATGCCGATCAAACGACCAATACTGAGAAACGAGGAGAGGGAAAAAAAACCTTTTCTGACTGGAGGGAATTCGAGTAAACATCAGAGACTTGCATTTTTGGTTGATATTTTTTGTTAATTAGGCAGTAACGAGGTCATCTTAATTACCAGTGCATTAAATCTCAGTGAAAAACCGGCCTGGAAACAAATTGACTTCTCATTAAGCTGAGTCAAATTAAAGTTAAGGATCCATTTAGAAGTCAGTTCAGCCTCTTCCGCCCACCGGAATTAGGTAGTCGGGGGGGGGGGCGGGGGTGCCTTCTCCTTGTTCGGCACGCCAGGCTTCTCTTCACTCCGGGCTGGACCTCCTCGGATGACCCATAGGTACCACATTTATTGTTTGAGGCCAGTGTATGGCTCAGTGGGTTATGATGCTGCGATCTTAACCAGAAGGTTACTAGTTCATATCCCATGATCAGCAGAGTGGTTTCACCATTGGACTCCTGAGCAAGGCCCTTAACCCCCAATAACCTAAGGGACAGTCGGACCCTACCCCCGCCCCCACCTCCATATGTTGCTTTGGACAAAAATGTCTGCTAAATAAATAAAATGTAATATAAAATGAGAAGATGTGGAAGGGTGAGCATGGAGTGGGGATGGTCACCTGGTCAACTTTCATTTCCTTTCTTTGATCTCTGCATCTTTTTTTTTTTTTTACTGCAGATAACACATTGCAA